AGCAGCGATTTTCAACCTTTTTCATCTCGTGGTACGCATGAACTAATTATAAAATTCTGCAGCACACCAAAAAATATACTTTTTGCTGATATTACAAAAAATAAATATAATGTTGATTCATTCACACCAGATTCATAGCTTCTGTTGTGTTGAATGTTGTCATTTTTTTTACTTGACAGTCTAAGGGAAAAGAGGCCAGTGCCCCTGACTAAATATTCGGGTATTGCATGTTGTAAAATTCTTGCAGCATGCCAGTTGAAAATTGCTGTTCTAAAGAAACACATCTAGAAGCTCTCTACATTTTTATGAGCAGTAGTGGGAATTTAGTTATCAAAATGAAGGCAGAACAGCCTGTAATTAGCTTTTTCAGAGAGAAAAAAGTTTTGTTCAAAAGCAAGCCAATCCCATGTTGAGTTAGCACACCATAATTTTTTTTTGGTCACTGTAGTTTAGTTTTCAACAATAGTTTTACACATGTCCTTGCCAAGTGATCCGTTATATTATTTCCACTTGAACAGAAAGAATGGCTCCTAGAGGTCATGTGCCACGTGGAGTGGTCCCAGTGCACCTGAAACATAGTCAAGAGCAGAGCCTGAGACATGACACTGAATGTGGTTCATTTGGGCCTCGCCAGGGCGCCTCACGGGAGTCTGTCCCTGCAGCGTAGGGCTCTTTCCAGCCTGGCCTGATCTCCCAATTCTCCCTTCTTCCTTGAAGCTGATGTAGGGATTTAGCCTGATTCTGATTCCTTTTTAAAATTGCTGCTACTCACTCTCTTCCTTAGAATTTTTAACCCTGGGGCGTGAAAGATGTATACTTTTCTTCCCTAGTTGCCAGGTTCACTTCATTTTGATATGAGCAGAATTTTAAAAAAGAAAGAAACAAACAAAAAAACAAGTAGGGAAGCTTCACAGATTGTGAAATCTTACACATTTTGGGGGGCCATGGACCTTGACCTTTAACTTTGGTTCTCAGACTTGGCCGGCTTCTGAATCTTGTGGAGGACTTACGGGCCTCCCTCTCAAAGTTTCTGATTAAGTAGGTTCGGGGTGGAGCCTGAGGGTTTGCGTTTTTAACAAATTCTCCTGTGTCCCTGTATTGATTAGTCAGTATTCTTTGCCTACCATGTAGCCCTTATTTTGTGTAAAATTGTTCTGTTTTTGAGTTTTGAGTCTTTTTAATCATGATTTCTTAGTGGAAGCTATAGGGTTTAAAACCCTGGGCACTTAACATATTTACTGAGCATGCTGTCAGTACTTTACTTGTAGCCTTGTAAAAATTTTAATAGTTCATCTTTCAGTGAACAGTTTTTTAACTTCTTTTTCTTTTGTAGGTATTTAATACAAGGTTGTTTAAAGTCAAAGAAAGACATTTGTTTCTGACCTACTTGGGAAGAGCACAGTACGATCCAGCAAAACCTAACTACATCTCTTTGGACAAACTGGTCTCAATGCCTGATGAAATATTTTGTGAAGAGATTGCCAAAGCCTCAGTACGGGACTTTGAAAAATTCTTAAAAACGCTTTAGTTTTTGATGTTAAGATGTAATAATGTAAAGTAAATGTATATGTGAATAAATGAATATACTGTACTTCAAAATAAATATCACAAGCCTCAGTTGACATTGGAAGCACTTTCTTGATGTTGTAAATTTGGGTATACTTCTGGTAGATTTTTCTTAAAGGCTCATAGTGACTTAATTCTTTGACTCAACCATTTTCTTCCTTCTGGGGAAGGAAAACTAACAACAGTTGTCCCTAACCTTTTTGGCTCCAGGGACCAGTTTCATGGAAGACCATCTTTCTATGGCCCAGGGGTGGGGGATGGTTTCGGGATGATTCAAGCACATTACATTCAAGTTCACCTGCTGTGCAGCCCAGTTCCTAACAGGCCCAGACCTGTAGGGATCCAAGGCCCAGAAGTTGAGGACCCTTAACCAAAATATAGCAAGCTTAGAGAAAGAGAGTCGGTTTACTATATATAGGCTGGTGTGCTGTCATTCTGGTGAAGATGAGAAAGTAGAGGATTTTCCTCTTTCAGTTACAGGTCTTTTAGAGCGGTTTCATCACAAGACACCTGTATTTTCTTCTGTTCACTTAGATAATGCTATAAAACACATGAGTTTTGGACTCTCTACCCTGTTGTCTCCCGAAGCACAGATACTCAGAGTCACCTACAGGTGGCCACTGAGAATCAGGAAAGGAAAAGTGATAGGGAGGAAAGGAGTTTGAAGGTAAGTAGATGACAGTAAGACATAGTAAAAAGTTGTAACAAACTTCCTGTGTGCAAAGATTTATAATGTGAACTGATACTTTTTTTTTTACATTTACTGCTTAGATATGTAATCCTGGGCAAATTATTTAACCTCAGTCTGATGACTTGGAAAATGAGGTATCATCACTTCAGTTATCTGCCTTAGGATCTCAAGATTGAGTAGAACGTTAACACTGGGCACCCGTAGGGACCCACACCTGGTATTTGCACTTGTGTAGTTTCCTCCAGGATGAAACTGAGCCAATGTGGTTTGGTCCAAGGGATGCCATCAAGCCTCTGCTTGATAACCACTTGCACATCAGGTCTTATCCTCTTCATGGAAAGAGATTCCTGGCCAAATCTCAGCTGTTTGATCAATGCCAACTGAACACCAAACATAGTGAAGAGGCCATGTTGGATATTCCAGTTTCAGCAGATACCTCATGGAGCAGAACTACCCAACTGAATTCAGAATTGGAAGAAATGATAATGTTTTACACCAGTAACTTAGGAGATAGTGTCTTGTCCACCATTATTTTGTGATGTGTTGGATCCTGAAACCTCATGAGAAACTAAATTGGTGATTGGTCAGGGCCAAGTATAATGGCCTTCCTGTCAAGTGTTTTAATAATTTGCTCAGCATTTGAGTTCCTAGAATGCAGTGAGGAGTGTGGCATAGATCTGTGCCTTCATGGAGTTCTCTAATGGATGAGATCAATAAACAGAAAACAAGGAAGAAAGTACAGCTGGGATAAAAAGCATAGAAGCATCCTGCCAGGTCTTTCTATAGCTGAGAACCTCATATTGCCTTTATTAGCAACCTATTCATATCAGAAAAGGTAGCTGTGGTGCTGTACTGAATAGTCCTACAACTTCAAATGATTTAATACCACCAAAGTTTTTAATGCATTCATGTTCAACTTGTGACCAAAAAAGGCTCTACTTTACATCATTAGTGATAGAGGTTGATGGAACCTCCACCATGTTGAGCATAGTCAGTCTACAGAAGAGAAAGGAATGTGGAAAATTGCTCTTAAAAACTCACATCTTTCTTGGCCAAACTATCACATGGCCATGCCTAGCCTTAAGGGTTCAGAGAAGCGCAGTTCTATCATGTGCCAGGAGGGAAGCCCAAAATCATTTCTGAATCAACACTAATGAATACCAGCAAACATGCAGAATCTAGAATGAAAGCCTCTAGGAGCTGGGTTTTTTGAAAACCCTGAGTATCTGATCCCTTGGCAAGATCTTCCTCTTGTCAGTGAAATTTAGGAGGTACAGAGGAAGGGAGAAGAGTTTACTACTTCTAAGGCAATGTGCCAATGTACAAATGTATTGCATTTCTTCACATCATTCAGATCACTAATGTCATTTAGGTATGTGTTCATTTCTAGTTACGGGTATAGGATGACTAATGTGAGAAATTGTGGCACAGAGAATGAGAAAAAGAGAGAGGGCAACAGAATTTTAGAACTGAAATGGACTAAGACCATTAAATCTAACCTTTTGAACTTACAATGAGGTGGAGTCTACTATCCCAGGTCTCATCTTAAGACCAAAGAAAAGCACGTATTGGTGGGTAGCTGCTATGGTCTGAATTGCGTCCCCTTGAATTTTTCAACAAAATTCATATATTGAAAAGCTAACCTATGCATAATGTGGTGGCATGAGATGGGACCTCTGGAAAATAAGTTTAGATGAGGTCCTAACCATGGGGCCCTCATGATGTGATTAGTTCCCTGAGAAGAAACAGAACAGCTTGCTCTCTCCCTGCCGTGTGCACACTCAGAAGACAGCCCACTACCAGCCACAGCGAAAGAGCTCTCACCTGAAACTGACCGTGCTGACACCTTGAAGGGCCTCTAGCTTCCAGAAATGTCAGAAAATAAATTTCTGTTTTTTAAGTTACCCAGTCTATGGTATTTTGTTAGGGCAGCCTTAGCTAACCAAGACAGTAGCAATGGTAAAGGTTCACCATAATTGAATGAGCATCAGTCATACTAACTCCCTTGATTTCTTTTTGTCTCTAGATTTTTATGCCCTAGACTTAATATATTGGAGCTTAGACCTTAAACATGTACTTGCTTTTACCTTAATTGCTTGCACATTTCTGCAATATTTATCTTAGATCTAGTAATATTTTCTTTTTCCTGAACTATCCTTTAACTTTGTAATAACATGGCTTGATGGAGGTCTTCAGCTGGAGAAACTGAAGACCAGAGAGGGGATAGTATCTCCTAGAGGTAGCATATGCCCTAGAATCAAGGAGTCCTAGAGTTTTATCTGGATTCTGAGATTCTGGAAGATGAATCTGCGTTTTTCCTAGCTGTGTGTCCTAACCTTCTGAGCCTGTTTCCTCCTCTATCCAATAGGGATACTCATAGTACTTAAGAATTAGAATTAAATAAGAAAATTAAATGAGAATATGCCCATAATAGGCTTAGCATGTTGCTTGCCACAAGGGCACAATTAATACTGCCCAAGCTCTCACAGGTCGCCACTAACAGAACCCAGGATATAGTCCCGATGCTCTAATTGTTTCCCTAAGGTTTTTCCCATCACGTCACATAAATTGCTTCTTGGAACCTAGCGCGCAAAACACCCGGCCTACTCCTTAGGTAAGGACCCAGGTGGAAAGGAACAAGGGAACACACGACAGGTATCCAACATCGGCCGCCAGAACTGCGCCTGCGCGAGCGTCTGCCCGTGCCTCGCGACAGGAGCTGAGGCGCCTGCGCACTGGTCCCAGAGCGCCCTCTTTGACTTACCCAGTAGGCAACGCGTCAGTGTCCGGTCAAAATGGCGAGCAGGCCTGCAGGTAGGTCACCGCTGTCCTATCTGGTGGGTATCGCAGCTCTCGATCTTTCCTTCTCGCAGCCACTTGCTTCTCTTTCCTTGCCCTGAATGGCCAGTTCTGCGGCTTAAGGGAAGGGGCGGCTCCAGTCCAGCCTAAAGGACCCTCCCCCACTGCTTCTCCGCTCTCCTCATATCAGCCTCGCCTAGTGGATTGGGATGCAGACTGCTCTTGGTGAAGTGCTCGCGGGGCTCTGACCCTTGGCGTTCCATCTGCCTGTGCTTGGCATTCCTTTCGCTTGGCCTTAGAAGAGTTCAAGGGCACAAGGAAATAATTAGTGCACGACTTTCAGCCAAAACGAACTGAGTTCTTACTGTGAGCCAAGCGCTGTCAGTGTGCATTACGCGATAAATGACCCTTCGAGCGCGACGAAGGGAATATTCGCCTTTTACGCTGATAGCTGAGGCAAAGTGACCAGAGGAAGTAGGATTGGAGTCAGCACTCCACCTCTCGCACTTGTCAAACTGGGAATTAGAGCTAGCTGAACAAGGGTTACAGGGAAGTTTCGTTAACCTTACTTGGAACGTCAGTTAGGTCTGTAGATTTAAAGAAATTCGTATTTATTGTGGACACTAAAACATACTTATTATTGATTGCAATACAGACGTTACCGGGATATTTAAAACACCGTGAACATCAAATAGAATTTTATGGGGGATGGGTTGGTTGGTTGGTTGGTTGATTTATTTATTTAATGTCGTTGCTGCTAATCTCTGCCCTCTGGCGGTATAAATTGACATAGCTTTTTAAAAATACGTGGTCCCTTTCTCCCGGCTCCCAGCAATTGTGAAGCTATTGAGACTTCAAATTGCCAGAAAAATTCTTTAACCTGAATATCATTGAGCTTTTTAGAGTGGGGGAGACACTTACAAATTCATTAGTTAATTTAACTTTACAAATATTGAGCACACTCTGCCTGTATGCAGTGTTTGGAACTAGATAGACCTGGCCTCAACTCTATCATTGGCTAGCTTTGATCTTGGATGGTATGACTTCTGTAAGACTTACTCCCCTTTTGCAGAGACAGAGGTGATATATAAATAAACCGAGTTAATCTGGGTAAAGCAAATAGGACAGTGCTTGGCACATAATGGGTGTTTAATGAATATTCATCATTATCACCATCACTGCTTAATATACTTACAAATAACTGATTTTTCTACAAGTATGTGTGTAGACTGTTGGCTCTTTGGTGTTACTCGTTTTGCTAGAAGCAGTGTTATCCATGGTGTTTAATAACTAAGGAGAGTTACAGAAGCATTGTACTCTGTGATGTGATAAGGAGTAGGGGCTGGAGGGGTTGGAGTAAAAGGAGAGTTTACTTTCCTTCCCTGGTAAGGGGCTAGCCCTAGATGAAAGTTTAAAAGAAATTTTAAACTTACTCTATGCCCCCTTCTGTACTACATCTCTCCTATAAGCATCAGGCACTATCGTGTTGCCCTTGGCAACTACCGGGGTTAGCCCATCAAGCTCAGTCCTATTCCCCAAGGAATTTTAACATTACCTGTTTCTCTTTATCCACTTTCAAACATCCATTTCTTTGGTAGAAAATTAGGTGCTTGGGAGGAGGAAATCGGCTTCTTTTGCTATTAAATGACTAACTAATGGTATCAAAATGCTCCCAGAAATACATCGGGTTGTCAAGAGGGTAGCCAACTAATAAAAAGGTAATGTAGAGCAAAAATTTTAGAGGATGAGGGTCGCTTAGACCTGCCAGCCTATTCTAAAACCTCACCTTCTTTTCATACAACCCCAACTCTCTTTAAAAAATTTACATTTATTACCTGTAATATATTTCTGAAACTACAAGAAATGGAGGAATTTTGAATTCCTTTCCTGTACCCTACCCCTTTAGTTCTGATAATTGTGAGGGGACATAAAGGGATGGTATGCTTGACTTTGAGAGGCTGGAGTGGCAATAATTGTTCCTGTGAATATTGAGGACATCAGATGTTTGAATTTACTGTTTTTTCCCCATGAGTTGCCCAACTTTTTTTTACCTGCAATCCCTTTTGCTCATAGGTGAAATAAGCAATTTTTATCTACAGTATATAGGTTATATGTTTTTCTAAAAAATAGAGGAAAGGGGAGAGAGAGGGAATCATTGATTTGTTGTTCCATTCATGTGTGCATTCATCGTTAGATTCCTGTATGTGCCCTGACCAGGGTTCAAACTGCAACCTTGACATATGGTGCCAACGCTCTAATCAACTGAGCTACCCAGCTAGGGCCTAGAGTATATGCTTTAAAAAGGAGATTCCTTCCTATGTTTGCATTCTCTAACAGGGTGACTCTCAGAGTAGTGTTTGCTTGGTTGTCGGCATTTTCATTTAGTACAATAAGTAAATTGTAGCAACTAACAGTGTAACAAACAATATCAGCTGCAGCATCAAGCCGGTGGCTGGACGGTATTCGAAAATGGTACTATGGCGCTGCAGGATTCAATAAACTGGGTGAGTATCGCACTTTCTTCTTCCGTTTCCTTTTTCTTTTCTTTTTTGGGGGAGCAGGGGGATGGTTTACTGAGAGTAGTTCTTTTGCAAAAGTCATTATAAATCCAAAATATAACTAATTGTACTTGCATACATTAGAAGATACTAAAATAAGATCACCTTTTATTGTTAACGTTAAATCATATCTATTTTTTATTGTTTTGGAAAACAGAGGGATGAAATTGTCTCAAATGTTTGAGGTGGAAATAATTTATGTTCTTTAAATTGGTAGCTGGACATTTTCCTTATATACTCCCTTTCCCAACTTCTCCACTTAGCATTTAAAATTTAAGTTCTATGAAGTTTGAAAGTAGAGATTTGTAAAAATTTGATGTTTGTTTAAAAATAGTCTAGACATTTTAAATATTTTAAAATTTGTTTTAGGTAAAATGTGAGTTTTGTGGCAGTGGACTTTATAAAGCTTATATATTGTTTTCACAGCACCATTTTAAAAATAATCAGTTAATAACCCTCTATTATGTATGAAATAACATTGAGTTTTATCATACGTAATTTACGATATTTTACCCAAATCTTGAAGATACTCATTTTCTAGAAATTCCTGAATTTTGAAATACATATTCAATCTCTCTTGCCATCTATCTTAGGGTTAATGCGAGATGACACGATACATGTGAATGACGACGTGAAAGAAGCCATAAGAAGGCTTCCGGAGAACATGTATAACGACAGGGTGTTTCGCATTAAGAGAGCACTGGACCTGGCCATGAGGCAGCAGATCTTGCCTAAAGAGCAGTGGACAAAATATGAGGAGGTAAAACAGCTTTTGTGTACCTGCCAATATTGGCCATTAAGGACTGAGTATTATAAACAGAAGCCTTCATTTGCAAAGTGCTTTAGAGTTCTTAATGTGACAGATATTTCTACAGTGAGGTTGATAGAGCGAATGTTGACTCCACTTTAGAGACAAGCACATTGAGCCGTACAGATGAAGTGACTGTTCAGTACGACCAAGCAAGGCTCTAACAGAGATCCGGGACTAGAATTGGGGTCCTTTGCCTCCCGGGCTGCTGTTCTTCCTCTTCACTCTGCTTCCTGCTCAGGTGAAAACATGGTGTCCATGAGATGAGCGCATTGAGTGGCTCTCCAGCTCCCGGGAAGGACCCTGGGAAGCAAACCCTTGACCCTTAAACTGCATTAAAACTAGGTAGAAGCTTATAGACTCTCATTTCTTTATCTCTTTTGTCAGACTTTGCTCTCATAACCTACCAAAGCAACTGATTACAATATCTTCACAGGTTTTACATTTTAGAAAAGCAGACAATTCTTACTTTGCTTGAGAATATTTTTTTCTTAAGTTGGAAATTAATTTTGATGACTTTCTTTTGTTACTTAAGACCTATTGAGTGTTTGTGATATACCTGTGTGTAATGATAGTGTATGATATTTTTTTTAATTTGTTCTTTAGGATAAACCCTACCTTGAACCATATCTGAAAGAGGTCATTCGGGAAAGAAAAGAAAAAGAAGAATGGGCAAAGAAATAATCATGTAATCGAATGTGTGGATGCATCTGTCCTCAGTATTTTAATGTCGGTTAAACCTGAAATGTACAATTTAGAACCATCTGGGTTGCAAATATATTACTTTAAATAAATATCTATTATAACTTTTTGTTGGAGTTTGAATTCTAAATCTCATTCTCAATAACTACTGAATTTATGTATCTGTTAAATTCTTTCCAAACTTACAAGGTGTTTTTCAGTTAGTATTTAACTGCCTCCTGAAGCCATTTTAATCAGTTTCCTTTGCTGGTTGGATAACTTCTTGATTTACTGAGGGATATAATACTCTTCCAAGTAGGAGAGTCACCTTGATACCACCTTTGCTGATTAGCAAGACACCTAGAACCCCCCTCAGGGCCTAACTGGCAGGAATGGAAGGAGCCAGAAATAGGCACCAGTCATTTTGTTTTATCTGAAGGAAATAGCACTTGAGCAGACTGGCTCTGACTTCCAAAGTTACTATATTAAAGGAGAAAGGATTCTTCAGTCCCTGGTGTGACAGGACTGAGAAACAGCCCTCTTCAACCACTGCTTTCAAAAGATAATTGACTTTGCATCCTATCCTTTAAAATTATGTATATTAGAAAACAAAAACTAGGCATTAGAAAAATAGACAAAAATATAAAGATGTTATATTTTCTTCCCACATCCCAGTGACTTTTCTACTTTAGAAATGATTGTTATAAAGTATATTGTAATGGTTGGATACTTATAATAGTTAAAAGTTTTAAGGTTATAGGGTAATTTTTTAAAATATAAATTAAAACCATTCAGTGATGTCATCATCCCCACCCTTAAACTCTGAAACGCTTCCTTTGGTGCAAGCGAGAGCACGAACCACAGTGACAGGGGGAGGACCTGGGGGACCTACAGCCTGCACAGTGTCCTGCCGGCACCTGCTGGGCGCGGTAGGGTCTTCCCTCAGAGAAGGAAACAGCAGAGCGTGAAAAACAGTTTGTGTTAGTTAAAGTTCCTAAAGCTAAAAAGAAATTATGTACATTTGGTATGTTTTCACAAAATGAAATATGTTGACAGACATTTATTTACATTGGAGTTTTGCAACATAAATATAATGTCTTAAAAACTGGCTGAAATATTAGAGTAGTTCATTAAATTTCCTAAGAGCCTCCCTTCTCTTTGATATTGAGATTATTTTATGAAGCACGTATTTGGAAATCTTGGTTTTGGGAGGTTTTTTGGTCTGGTCTGAGTTGCCTAGGTCCTCATTTGATAAAGGTTTGGGTAACGGTAAAAGCAGTTCTTCAACATGCTTAATGTTTTGTAAGATTTGTGGTTCAACTTTGAATGCATTTGAGTCTTACGGTTGGAGCAGTACTGCAAGTCACAGAGAAACAGAGACAGTGGTGGATGCCAGTGTTAAGGGACATCTTTGTGAGGGACTGTTTCTTCCATAAGGGTCAGCTGATGAGTAAATGTGTGTCAGGATGCTTCCCCATTAGATGTAACTCAGTAACTGAGAGGCATTCTCAGACAGACAGGCACTGCTCAGTGTTTCAGTTTTCCAGGTTCCTCAGACATTTTCAAATAAACTTGAACCTCATACATTGAAGATTACTGTTATGTTCATATAACCTTTTTGGCTTATCATCCTGTGTAGACAGAATAATAGAGTGATTCACAGCCAATTTATTCATTGATTGGGTAACTTTAATTTTTTTTAATCCTCACCTGAGGAATTTTTTATTGCTTTTTAGAGAGAGAGAGAAAGAGAGAGACATCAGTTGGTTGCTTCCTGTACACGCCCGGACTGGGGATCATACGTGCCCCGACCGGGGATGGAATGTGCCACCTAGGTATGTGCCCTGACTGGGAATCGAACACACGACCTTTCAGTCTTGGGATGATGCTCAAACCAACTGAGCCACACTGGCTAGGGCTTATTGGGTAACTTTGGTAGTATGGTTTAAAATCTCTGTGCTTCAGTTTCCTCAGCTCTAAAGCAAGGCTAATGATAGAACCTGCTTTACTGGGTTGTTTTGAAAATTAACTGACTTCCTTATATGTCAGGCACGTAGAACAGTTCCTGGCACACAGTAAGCACTATTCTGACTTGCTAAAAAGTTTAATAAGAAGAATAAAAACTTAGCTAAAACCCAAAGTTACTATAGCCATAATAATCCTGTATTCATAAACAGGATGGTGTTAATATAGACTTATGTGTGGCTTTGAAAATAACCAAAGAATTTAGAATTTAAAAGCTAGTTTAACATAAAGACTATACTAACCAAATACTTGAAAGCCTGGTGAGTGAAGTGCAAATGGGTTTACTCATTTGGGTGGCATAAATTTTAGGAACTGCAGTATCAGATACTAACAGTTAAAGGGTCAATGAGACAAGAACTGGAAAATACGGGGAAAAGGTTCCTTTATTGAAATAAGGTACTAAATTCTGCCAGTAGGTGGCGATGCGCTGCAACTTTACAACTTCAAGGTGCACCACACTATTGAAGATTTACCCACTCTGTACCCTCACCAACTCCCTCCCCTTCATTTTTCAGGATGACAACACCTTAGAGGTTTACGGCCATCAGGAGAATTTACTACTAGGCTATATACTGATGTAATGAAATCTAATATATGCTGTGCAATGAATTATGAGATGTTATTTAGTTTCAGGATTTTATTACTTCAATCAGTTATGACCATATTTCCTTTTACATGATTGCTCACTCTTTAAACATACCAGATGACTGTATAAGAAACACCTAATAAAGCCCTTAGATGTTAAAATCTAAATGTTTTAATTTATTTGCCACAATTTGTTTAAATTCTGGTTATACTTGTGTTCATATTAAAAACCATAACATTAGAATCTGAGATCTCAGGTCAGGTGGTGCCTCTGAATTATATTTTGTGAAGAAATTTCATTGTATGTAGTAGCAATTGGGCAGGGAAGACAAACTGAATCAGTGTAAGGTAGTTGGTTTTTAGCATAGATTCCAGAAAGACTGTTAATATGTGAGGGACTGAGGTATGATATATTAAGACAAACTATTTAAGTTATTCTGGATTCTGACTATGTCTCTCCTGCAATTGAAAGAATGTATTTGTTTAACTTTGTGATTTAATACATTTGCCTATTTTTGCATAAATTCCTAAAAGTAATTTTAAAATAAATCCCTGTGAAACTTCTGGTAACATTATTCAACTGTCTCATTGTTCTGTTCATACTCTGTTTTAAAGAAAATTTTATACATACATATGAAAATTATAAGCCAAACCCCTCAGAATAATTGTCTTACGAAAGAGTCAGTTTACAATGGCTTTCTTATGCATGCATTTAAAATGGGGTTTGCCACTGCACTGGAAACTGAAGTGTGAGGCCAATGACTTAGGTAGATCGTTAGCCTTTAGAGATTGGAGCTCCTTGGCTATAACATGAAAGGGTCTGACTACGGAGTCTTTGAGATTCATTTCAGCACCAAAACATTCTAGGTCTGTATTTGATTTGTGCACTTTATTATTAATATAAACTAATAATGATGGAGTATTACCTTTGTATTAGGCTTTGTTGATATGTTGTCTCTTTTAATCTTCCTTGCAAACTTCTGGTGTAGATATTATTATACCCATTATATGGAATAATAAATTGGGTTTAAAAAGATCATTTTACCACTGTGTGTGTTGTTTGTTTGGGGTGGAGGGGCATCCTTTTTGTGTGCCATGCTAGAGGGAAGCTAGGTGTAGGACAGGGTTTCTCACCACTGGCACTGAGGCATTTGAGGCTGTATAGTTCTTTCAGGGGGGCTTACCTGTACACTGTAGGATACTTGGCAAGATCTCTAGTTTCCTCCAGGTTGTGACAACCAGAAGTGTCTCTGGACATTGCCAAATGTCCCCTGAGGGACAGAATTGCTCTCCAATGAAAATCACCCATATAGGGGCTATAAAGAGAGAAAGCAAGAAACGCACACATATAAATAGATACATAAATATGTAAATAAATGTGTAAATTATCTGGACAAAATATGTACCAAGTGTTATGGAAACATGGAGAAAGGAAACTCACTCAGCCTGGATGGTGAGTAGAAAAGACCCTCTGACCCCCCAGCTGATTCTATAGGAGTGAGCAAAGCCAGTCAAACCAAGAAAGTGGCGAAGGGCTCCGTGAGAAGAGGAAGAACAGGAAATGCTCAGAGGCATGGAAGTGCAGGCATATGTGTAGAAAACAGGCAGTTTTGTACTGATAAAGTGGCAAATATCTGGGAGATGTGGGCGGTGGAACTTGGAAAGGTATGTTCCATATTGAGATGTTTGGGCCTTGAAAACAGGAAAGTGTTTGGGTAGATTCTAAGAGGTGAAATTTCCCAGAATTCTCAAGTTGGGTTAAGGAGGATGAATTTTAGTTTCTCAATACTTCACTACCAATTTGCTTTTCAAACTTTTGTAATAGTTTATATTCTTCTAAACAATTCTTGAGGACCTTTTTCTTTGTACCCCTGCCTACATGGAGTGCTCTCATTAAGAACAATCTTTGTGTGTGTGTGTGTGCGCTTTAAAATATTTTATTTATTTTTAGAGAAGGAGTAAGAGAGGGAAAAAAACATCAATGTGCAAGAGATACACCGATCAGTTGCCTGTTACACACCTCCCCCTGGGGACCCAGCCAGCAACCCAGGCATGTGCCCTGACTGGGAATCAAACTGGCGACCCTTCAGTCCTCAGGCTGGTGGCCAGTCCACTGAGCCACACCAGCCAGGGCCAATCTTTGTGAATCTTTGGAGAGTTTCTTGTTTAAATTTGTATTTCTTGGATTGAGTAGTTAAATATTTTTCCATATGCTATTATCAGTTATTTTTCCTCCTTAGTCTTGCTCACGTCCTTTGCCTGTGCATCTGATTTTATTCTCATAGCTTCTTCCTTGTTTATTTAGTTTTTTTCGTAGTGTCACCCCACCCCAAATTTGGGGCAGTTCGTATCTGTTTGTTTGAGACCTTTACATATTTAGGCAGTATCCTTTTCATTATATTTGCTAAAATGATATTTTCTTCTATTGTTTGAAATTTGTTTTGGTTATTTTGGGGTGACTTTTAAACTTTGTTCCTGGTGGTTTTTGTTGAATGGGAGTTTCCAATTTTTTGTATAGTA